AACATTTGTTTAAAATGGTATAAACTGCAAAAATTGTGCTAAACTAGGTTCTATAAAGTAATTTTTCTTTTTTATTTAATCACATCCTTATGTCACTGATCCACATTTTATTTGCAATGCACGCACATACTAAATGCAGACCCCGTTTGCACATTTCAAACAGGCCTGATTTGGCTACATCTCGTTTGTTCTCACATTATTGTGTTGCATTGTAATTTCAATGACTCGATAAGCGTGCACGCTGTTACCATCTCAGCGATTCATACACTGACTACAACATGACCAATGCAACAATTATATCCAGTGATCGCATTCGATTCTGTTGTCTATTAATCTATATCGAAACTCAGTCTAACCTGTTGCATTGTAAAGCTTCATCATCGACCCGCAGAGTGAAAATAAGCTCGTCCATTCAGCAGCAGCAGGTCTTTAAATTCACTCCAATGTCGCTTGCATCCCCTCAGAAAGGTGTTGAATCTACTGCACCGCCGCTGTCTTCTGTAGATCCATGCTTTGCGGGACAGCACTGGCGATTATCAGCGTGAAAGTTTCTCGCTTGCTTTGTCTGGTCTGTTCCCTCTGCTCTGTTTCAGCCATGGAAAGCGTTTTCCATTCATTCAAATCACCTTTAGTCAAGAGATCCGGCTGCACTGCATGCTTTCAACCGCTAGAGGCGCCAGACAGACTAGTGCAAAAGCACGTGTGTAGAATTCAATTTTACCGCAATTTAAGCATCTTTTAGTTTCTTAATTGAATATTTTATGTATATGTAATGCATATAAATATATTAATATAACATGTTAAAAAAAGTATGTGACTATGTGAATCATGTTACACTTTAAAATTTCTTTCATAATTGCATTTACCCTTAGTGGCAGTAGTTCAGAAGTTCATCTGCAGGCTTGTCTGAGTACTTATTATGAATATTTGGCTCCACCTGCTGGTCATCATGTCCATCTGCAAACAGTTCAAGCTCTACAAGTGCACGTAGTATGGCAAGCCGTTTTGACTTTTATTCCTTCATAGGATATGAATTCTTGATATCAACAATTCAAGTTTCACTAGTCAAAATGCTAATTCTTGATATCAGGAATTAGATTTCTACTAGTAACAATGGCTAATTTTATATCAGGAATTACATTTCCACTAGTAACATAATGCTACATCTTGATATCAACAATTAAATTTTCACTAGTTAAAATGGTAATTATTGATATCAGGAATTAAATTTCAACTGGTAAAAAATATAATCCTTGATATTTGTAATTGTATTTTCAGGCTGCCATTCAAATTTAATTGTTGATATCAAGAATTGATTTCTTACTAGTTGAAATTACAATTTCACATATCAGAAATACAATTCTTACTAGTAAAAACCTTTATTTTTGATATCAGTAATCACATGGTTACTAGCAGACGTCTATTCTTGATATCAACAATTTAATTGCCACTAGTGACGATGTTAATTTCTGATATCATGAATGTGATTGTTACTAGAAAGCCATTTTAGATATCAGAAATTATATTGATATCACAAATATATTTTTAGATATCAAAAATAACAAATCTAACATGTTGAAAGTGTGAAAAACTTGTTGCATCTTTCCCAAAAAGACTCATGGCTGTATTAGATCAAAAGGGTGCTTCTACTAAATACTGAGCAAAGGGTCTGAATACTTAGGACCATGTGATATTTCAGTTTTTCTTTTTTAATAAATCTGCAAAAATGTCAACGATTCTGTGTTTTTCTGTCAATATGGGGTGCTGTGTGTACATTAATGAGGAAAAAAAATTAACTTAAATGATTTTAGCAAATGGCTGCAATATAACAAAGAGTGAAAAATTTAAGGGGGTCTGAATACTTTCCGTACCCACTGTATATATATATATATATATATAAACTTGCCCGTTTTAGACTTGCACTCTATTTATTTACTAACTGCTTGTTTCCTTTAAAAAAAAAAAAACTAACACTAGCTTATTTATCTTTTTGCATTCTATCTATTTGTTTTCTTTTTATTTATTATCCAATTAACAAAAGCAAAAAAGACCTCTAACACTAGCTTGCTCTATTCTTTTTCTATTCTATCGGTTTTCTTTTTATTTATTATATAATAAAAAAAAACCTTGCTACGTGTACTGCGTTAAGCTAACTGAGACTTGTTATAGCACTTGCATATCATTGCTCTTTTGTTGATTTTGATTGTTGGGAAAAATCATGTAACTTAAATCCCCACAAGAAATGTGTAGGAAAAAAGGGAAAAACAGCAAGCATGTTCTCACATTTGAAATCTGAGCACCATTTCCCACACAAACAATATTCAAACATTTACAGCGCAATTAATAAAATGTTCCAGAATGTCAGTTTAGATCGGAACAGGTATAACTACTAATGACTAAGAGTAGGGCTGCTCGATTACGGGAAAAATCATAATCACGATTATTTTGGCCAATATTGTAATCACGATTATTTAACATGATTATGAGGGGGCCATATGACCAAAACTTTATATGAGTGATTTATTTAAACATAGTGATACATATCAAATATATATTCCCTGTAAATAAGGTTGCTATGACATCTACATTGTAGAGACAAATACAATAGAATAAAAAGATACAAATGAAACAAACTGTGCTTTAATGTTTTTATGCAAGTCTCATGCGGTTTACAGCCTACAACAGAAATGAATAATCAAATGTAAAATAAAACAGCATAGTCTTCACTGTAAGAATTAAACTTTTTGTTTCTTATTAAAGCTACAAAAGTTCTTCACTCAAGAGTTTGTGTGATTTTGAATTTGTCTTTTGTTGTTTGATTAATATTAAGCACACAGTTGCAGCAGGAAAATAGCCCGCTGTCACTTTAAGTGCCGCACGGATCCAATTTACCATTAACACGCGTATTTACATTCTCAACTCTTTACCTTCATTTATTACATGACCGACGAAGGTATGCATGAATAATCACTAAGCGCCGCATTTTGACATATTTTTGCGTGTATTTGACCGCTTAGGCGCGCACCTTGAGCTAAAAGATGACTTTACATGTCCGTGTTCTGTTCCATCTCTGAGCGCATAAATCTTCCTGAGGAGCAGCGCAAGTTCTCTTTCACGCTTTTAAAAACATGAATAAATATACTTCTATAAATCAAGCACGTCCCATTTTGCAAAAGTCACGTTACATGATTTTTGCATAAGTCACGTTACATGATTTTACTGATTTTCACGCGACATTGGGCTTTTATGGAGGAACGAAAGCGCAGCGCTGGAAAAGGAAGCAGAATGGGGCGCAATAATCGTTTCATCTCGATTATTGTATTTTCATAATCGTTGGAGGCCAAAATCAAAATCGAAACTGTTTTTCGATTAATTGCACAGCCCTAACTAAGAGTATGTGTTAATTGTGTATTTGACTAATACTCTACCTGGGATTTGCATGTTCTGTATATTCAGGTACAGCTAAAGCGGTGGATTTATGGAAATGTATCAAGTCCATGTTTTACAGTCCATGTTCATATTTGATGGAATAGACAAAATGCAACCAAAGGTGATCTACGTCATAAAACCTTTTCTAGACTACAATGCCCATGTTGATTGAGTGTCATTCCGCAATGCAATCTTCATTTTTCTCAGGAGAAACACTAATATGTAATTGTCAGATTCAAGTGGAGTGGCAATTAAATGCCTCGACTCTCCCAAAAGAGTGACCCAACTAATGATAAGCATGTTTGTTTAGTAATGCAGGTGGGAATGTAATTGCTGAAGTGGCTCTGGATTACTGGAGAGAATACAAAATTTGGAAAGAGTTTTGGATGAACAGCAAGGAACTGGAGATTAAAATCAAAATATCACAATATCTTCAATGACAAAAACTGTGTGTGTATGTGTATTTTTTTCTGTAAATGGTTTCTTAAAATATTAAATTTGATTTCCCTTAGACCTGCACATATATGGTGACATATTTTTTGCTTATTAATATTCCAGTGTTGATTATGTTGTGCTTTGCTTTGTCTGTAGTCTGGATTTAAAGGAGACATATTATGCCCCTTTTTACAAATCAGACGCGCTCGTTTTCTCAGACGCTTCCAGAAAAAGGCTTACCAAAACAAAGTTACTGGGTTTATCTTTTTCACGTTTCCTTGGTTGGTAGATGCACCAGGGACCTGATTATAGCACTTAAAACCTGAAAAAGTCAGATTTTCATGAGATGTCACCTTTAATACTGTACTTTTAAAGTTAAAAGCTTTGTGTCCAGTCTGCAGCTTTTTAGTGCACATTCTTTAGTCCTGTCAGATAGACAGAGATCTTCAACTGTTTTCAGTTCAAGGAGTTGTGAATAGAAACAGAACAGGGATGCATGGTTCATATTGTAGAAGATTATATTTTGCTTTTTAACTATACATATAATACCATAAATGTATTTAAATAATTAATACTCTTTTCTACACACACACACACACACACACAAAAAAGTTTGCCTCGTGATTATGACAGTTCACTTGCCTCAATTAGCCACTATAGGGGCAGAAGTTATGCGTTGGTTGATACCTGATCGATTTTACACACAATGCATGACAGGAGAATGTGGAAGAACAAGGCTTCATGAATTCCTCACCCTGTCCTGACGTATTAAGGTGTGACTGTAAAACTTCATTCTTGGAAAGCCTTATGAATTTATCTTGTACCGTGCCACTTTTTCTTCACAGTTGAAAGTGACTAAAACAGTGCAAGGAATCATCTTTGCAATGAAATCAGGAACATTTTTTGTTTTATTTTTTCTGTTGCCTGTTGCAACAGAGGCTGGATTCTGGGATTTTTTAAATGTGTTTTCTAAGGACGATGATTTGCTTTCTTTTAATTCAAGCGGTAAGCAAAAAAATGTATCATGTTCCATTACATACATATTGCTTCTTTTTTTTTTTACTGTGGCCATAATTGAAACTTCTAACTCTGTCTTTTAATAATATATGAATATGTGTTGCTAACGAGAGTCAAACATGTTGTCCGATTTGGAGAAGGATCTACGGAAGTCTCTATTTGGGCAGCATATTGCTGTGGATACAGTTCTGAAGGCTGTATCTTGGTTTATGAAAGATCCAGATCCACCCAAGCCGCTGGTCCTCTCTTTCCATGGGCTGACAGGAGTGGGAAAAAATTACATCTCCAAGATCATTGCAAGGAATATTTATAAAGTGGGAGTAAAGAGCAATTATGTTCACACTTTCATATCCGATTATCACTTTCCACATAACGAGGAGGCAGAGATGTATGAAGTAAGTCATAGATGTATATGCTTTGATTGCTTTAATATTGTCTTTGACATTAATAGTAATATGCTAGGTAAACTAGGCTCTTTGAAGAAAGTGAATGTAGAGTGGAAAGTGTTTGTAAAATGCATAATATTTCATAAATTCATTCTGTAGCTTCAACTTAGGCAGTGGATTCATGGATATGTATCAAATTTTCCCCGCTCCATGTTCATATTTGATGAAATGGATAGGATGCATCCATGGCTGATTGACACCATAAAACCTTTTCTAGACTACAATGACAATGTAGATGGAGTGTCATTCAACAAAGCAATCTTCATTTTTCTCAGGTGATGCACTAAACTGTTGTGTTTGTTCTTATTAGGAATCTGACAGAGATGCTGGCTATAGTTGAATATTGCTGTGCAGTGTGTGTATATATATATATATATATATACACAGTGGGTACGGAAAGTATTCAGACCCCCTTCAATTTTTCACTCTTTGTTATATTGCAGCCATTTGCTAAAATCATTTAAGTTAATTTTTTTTCCTCATTAATGTACACACAGCACCCCATATTGACAGAAAAAATATTATAAAAACGGGTGCAGCCATTTTTTGTAACTTGAATGTGCAAGGCTTCCGGTTATTTTACTTAAAAATAAAACAGCCCATTATGCTGCTTTATTTTGCAAGCAGGTATTTGATATCATATTATTTTATAATCACAATCATAAAAACACTAGTTTGTAGTGCAAATAGTTTTAGCATTTACTGCACTTTGCTATTCCTCTAGTTATTTACATAGGTTAATTGTCACAGGGTGACTGTGTTAATAAAGCACATGACAAGGAATACCACAATCATCTTTAACCCAATGACAAGGAAAAATCAGGAGATCAGAGGGAGCAAAACTACCACATTAATGCAAAACAAGACCAGACAATGGAACTAAGAAAACTCAGGACTTATATACCTAATGAGAAACTATGGCAACTAACTAGACAAGGGAAAACAGGAACCAAGGAAGTACAAGGAAAACCAAAACATAATAATCCTGACACTAATAAAACGGAAGTCTCACACATTCACAGAAAACAGCTTACTTCTTCATGCAAAATAAGGTGGATAATACCTACTGTTTTTGAAAAACTGTATTTAAACTATAAACATACAATGCTAAACTTGTCAGTAAACAGTGTCACATTAAATAAATATGGATTTTTTTTGTTGCATTTTTAAATACATTTTTAATGTCTTATCATATGCCAGTCCAAAAAACGTTATTTGTAATTAATATGAATTGTTGTGTGTTAATCTTTTTATCTCCAGTCCTTTTTTTGTATATTGTCCATGTTATTCGCTCTAGAAAGAGTGAACCAGCGCATGATGAGCTGTATTATCTATAGTGAAACAGGTGGGCATATCATCACAAACGTGACTCTGGATTTCTGGAGAAAAGGCAACAATCGGGAAGAACTACAACTCCAGAGTGAGGGAATGGAGACTCAAATCTTCGAATACCTCAATGATGAGAACAGTATGTGTTAAAGTATTTGCACAGTGTAATGTCAATGACAAGGTTGCTAGTAAATCACACCATAAAGAGATTAGTGGATATTGCACAGGAGCTGTCTTTTAAATAATATCTTTGCAAGCAATTCATGCAAATTCCATGAATCTACAGTATTATCTTCATCTGTTTATTTTGTATATGTAACTGTATCATATACAGTATATATAATTTGTTATTTTATTAATGATCTCCTCGTTATTGTGTAAATCTACAGATGGACTTTGGCACTCCAGTCTAATAAATCGGCATCTGATTGATCATTACGTTCCTTTCCTACCTCTGGAGCTGAAGCATGTGCGTCAGTGTGTCATGGCTGAGATGCTTCATCTGAACATGACCCAAGACTATGATGTGGCAGATGAAGTGGCCAGAGACATGCCCTTCTTCCCTGAAGAAGAGAAAGTATTTGCCGTTAAAGGCTGCAGGTCTGTCAGACAGAAGTTGGTACTCTACTATTTGTAACTGGAGTAGAAAAAATAGCAGCACTATTTATTTACTACAGTGGTTGTTGATTTGGAATTTAATGAAAAAATATCTGGTACTTCTTTATCAGTGTCATGAACATTAAATATGTGCAAACAGCCTTATTTAAAAAAAGCACAATGGCAGTCTTTATTTGCTTGGTTTTTTGAATGTGTAAGGTACCCTGATACTAGGGGCCATAACATTGAGGGGGACAAATCCCCCCAATAATTAGAAATAGACAAATTGTCCATTATTAGAATATTGTCCAATATTTGAAATTCTTGCATTGATCTATTGCACTCCATTACGCAGCGCTCGTGTTGTTAGGATGACAAAATGTCTTTAAAAGTTACATTTTCAGCCTGCTTTGCCTAAGCCCTCGTCAATGTCAAAATAACTGAGCTGGCCAATCAAATCAAAGTAGGCGGGGTTTACTGTTCACAGAAGCAGAGTGCGAATTCCAGCACGAAGCAAGTTGAAAAAGAGAGAGAGGCTAGATGGAAGCTGCAAATCATGTCAACTGTTTTATGATCAAGGGGCTGTTTACGATATAAATGTTGAATAACCGACGGCTATATCCAGTGAATGCAAATTACTTGACTTTTTTTTCTCAAATATAGCCATATTTAGAGTGAGCTAGAGAGAATAAAAGTTGCTTGTGTGAATTACCTGCATCTGTGCATCTCTCTACAAACAATGAAGCTGTGCTGTGAGTTTAGTTACTTCAAAAAACACCTTTCTGCTGAGAAATACTGTATAATGTAATGCAGCATTGAAGCTATTTTATTATAATAAAATATTATAATATTTAATTATAATAAAAGTCACGAGGTAGTGTTGATAACAAATTTATGTGCTCCAGAATGTTTCTGTGTGCAAGTGATGTGTGTGTGTGCATCAACAAAAGCAGTGCATATGGGGGAAATGGCCAAAATTCAGGGGACTCTAGCTTGGAAAGAGTGGGGGGGGTCATTTATTAATGGCACCTTGTAGTGTTTGATAAAAAAGGGAGAATGAGCTAATTAAAAAAGCAGCACAGTCAAAAACTTAGCAGTACCTTTTGATAAATGACAAAAATTAACCTTCACATTATGATGTGATATTTGACTCATCAAAGTGATTTGCAGGGGCACCTTTGTAATGGATTTTTCTAACCTTATTAAATGCGTCATCTTTTATGTCAAATTCATACATTTATATTTATAATCTTTTATTTTCTTTTTTTTTTTATTGAAATTTAATCAGGAAGAATAAGTTACAAATCAAATGAAATCAGAAGTATCAACAAAATTAATCTTGGCACTAGAGGTGGCACAGAATAACACATAAGTAGCATTTAGATATGTAAACACTGTTTAACAAGGCGTAGGAGGTGGCATGAATGCAATTACATTCATAATAACAATGTTATGAGATTGATGTTTTAAATATAAAGTTTTGAATATAGAAATATTAAAGTGCCCCTATTATGCCTTTTCGAATATTACCTTTCATGCAGTGTGTCATGTAGCTGTATGTGAACATAAACTATCTGCAAAGTTGTGAAGCCGACAGTGCACGATAAATAAAGTTATTGTCTATCAAAAAAAAGAGTCAGCTCGCATTCGCCTAAACGAGTCGTCAGGAATTCGAATCTTATTCTTTTACAGCTCTAAGTCACGAAGTAACACATTTGCATAATGTCCGCCCACGTTCTATGTAGCCAACTTGCCCGCCCACAAACGTCCTTCCAAAAGAGGACGATATCCGCTTCGTCATGCCTGGAGCTGATCCGTGCTGGTCGCTGAAGAAATACATCAACTTCGCGATCGCCGGATCGGCTTTCACCGTGGACGAAGCAGAGTCAGCCCGGGGTCGTCACATGTGGTTGCAGCAGGCATCACAGTATGGTAAGGGACTTAACATTTCCGTCACACGCTTGAGGAATTCTGCTCCAGTCGTGCTTGCGAATCAGTCTCTTGTCGATCAGCCACTTCAACCGTTTCATCATCAGACTCCGGCTCGAATTGGTAAGGTACAATCAATACCATCTTTTCTATGTTTTGACAAGTCTCCAGGGCTGTCATTCCGTCATGGCAATGGGCGTTTCGTTTCCTACACGCGCTGTACGCATAGACCAATCCAGAGCCAATCTCTCTACGGCTCTGGAACAATCACAAAGAACTGTGAGGGCTCACGGAAAGGAGGGGTTTAGAGAGACTGATTCTTTGAACTGCTTCGCACGAGTCGTTTACGAATCATTTAGAAATTAGGTAAAACTAAAGTGTTTTTTGACCTTGCATGCATGTAAACCTGTTTTAGGAGACTCATAAAACAATATTAGCAACCTTAAAAATGGCATAATAGGGGCACTTTAAATGTTTTACTGCTTAAACTTAAAAAAAAAAGCCAGTAGGTGGCGGCATGATTCTTTGTCACTGAATCATTCATTCAATCGATTCGTTCAAACGGCTGATTCATTCTAAATGAAGCAGCTGGCTGCGTCCGAAATGGCATACTTCCCTACTATATAGTAGGGAAAAAGAGTATGTGAACAGATTAGTATGTCCGAAACCGCATTATTCATAAAAGAGTAGGCGAGAATTGCACTAATTCTCGCAAGACTCGGACGTACGTATACTTAATTTGCGTTCTAATATACCTACTTACCTACTATATAGTAGGGAAAAAGAGTATGTGAACAGATTAGTATGTCCGAAACCGCATTATTCATAAAAGAGTAGGCGAGAAATCCCCGGATGTCCTACTGCTTCAGCCCAGATTCTGAAGTGTTCATCGAGGGACACTTTTCAATCCCAGGAGTCCACGGGAGATCAATAACGTCATCATCGAACCTGACGGAGAACAGCGACGAGGGTGTTTACAAATGTGAGTAATACAAACCAAAAACACGGTTGCTTGTGTTAAAATCATATTTGTTGAGCTACTGTTGATTTGCTTAAGGTGTAAGACGTTAGACAGTAACGTTACAGTATATTTGTTCTGTAAAAACACGATTTATTATGTATAGCGGAGCTCCAGTAAGCACACGTACTTCACCAAAGTGAATTTACATAAACTTATACATCTTAAAGACGATTAGATGTCTATTTAATATGAGACCGGAAAATGTTCTAAAAGAATTGCAGATGAGCACATGGCAACGTGAAACAGACATCTGAGTGAGTGATGTATGTGCACTATTATGTAGAATTCACTGTTGTCAACACTGCTTTAGATGAATGTAAGTAATGTAAATAAACAAATCTACATAGAATAACTAAACATAAGTTATCTATTTCATTTGTCCATTAGTACTACTGATAAATTGAGGAACATTTGTGTTGGGTAAAAAGTGAGTTAACACATCAGCAACTACCTCAACATGTAAATGCAGTATTGAGCAGATAAATCACAGAGGTGACTGATGTTACAGGGACAGATGAGACACACAGTGTGTTTATCCGGTGCAGAGTGACTGATGAAGCAATGCTGAATGCTTTGAGTGAGTACACTATAGTAATGAATAAAACATCTTTTAAATCTTAAGTTGTAGTTTATTTTAATTATTGTAATTTTAAACAGAGTTATTACAGCACTTTTCTGATTCTTGATATATGTGCATTTGATACAGAGCTTTTGTGGTGGAGCAGGTGAAAGCCGCATTTGTGGAAAAAAGGGAAAACCTGAAACAAAAATATAAAGTAAGATCATGTTGTTTCTTCTAATACAGAAATCAAATAACATTGTGCTGTTAAAATGACTGCTTTTGTATTGTGTTTGTGCATCTTTGCAGGATCTGAAAT